TGCCTTGCTTTTTTCTATTATATGATTCCTTTATATTTGAATATTCTTTGCTTTTATTTTTATTTTTTTCTCCCACCTACCTTCTTCTTTGTCTTGGCTTAATTTGCAATTTTGATAACAATGTGAATGCTTGCGTTACAGATGGTAAGCTTTTTTTCCTTTCTAGTTTATGCATTTAAGACTACAAAATTCCCTCTAGCCTGTCTTTACTTGCAATAATAAGTTTTCATCTAGGGTCTTTTTCCTTGTGCTGTTGTTGTTTTTAAAGTTTGTTCCTGCTTGTTAGGTGCTTGTTTGAAATTATCTGCTTAGGCTTTATTTTTGAAAGCTATTTTCCTTGTGTATACAATTCTAGGTTGGCAATAATTTTCTTTTTGCTCTCTAAAGACATTTTTGTTCATTGTTTCTATTGAAAACTCAGCCATAATTCTATTGTGTCTCTCTGAATATCATGTGTCTGTTTTCTGTCTGTTTATAAGGCACTCTTTTTGGGGTTGTGGGTTAGCTTTATCTGTATTTATTTTGCTCAGAATTTGTAGTGTTTCAGTTTACTAATATCTTTTGCTTGTTTTAGAAAATTCTCACAATGTCTCTTCTGTTCAATTATCTCTCTCCTTTATAGACTACAACTATACTTACGAAAGTTATTTTCATCATGCTTCATATGTCCCTTAAGCTCTTTATCTGTGTTGTGTATTCTTTCTATTTCTCTGAAAAATATATACCTGAATATTTTCTACTGATATACATTCCACATCACTAATTTTTTCTTCTGCTATATCTAATGTGCTTTTAAATCCAACTATTGAATTTTGAATTTCAGTGTTGTATTATTAAACTCTACATTTTCTGATGATGTTAATGGGTTTCAGTAGTTGGATGAAATTTTGCTTTTTTTTATCTATTTTGATTATGTTGTTCATAGTTATTTGAAATTTCATGTCCAATAATTTGAACTTAAATATTTGCCTTTGAGTTTGTTTCTAAAGTCTGTTTTAAAAAGAAAAAACTGTTGTTTTTGGTCATTTGATCTTGTATTCTGGCATGTTTGGTAAATGTGATCAAATGGCAGACATTATAATGTCTGCCAAAAAATTGTAGACGCTATGGATGACATCTCCCTGTAGAGCGGATTTAATTTTCTTCTGACAGGCATATAGAACATGGGAAGATTATCTTGATCTATTGGATTTGGATTTCATATTCAGTGTGAAGGTTTGTGAGAACTGGTCTATTTTAGGTTCATCTTTATTCCTAGAGCCCATCCCTTCAAGGAGCTCAAGGGTGAGCCTGGTATGTTTATTAGAGATTCTCTTTCTTGGCAGGCTACGAACTTCAATTTTTTCCAGCACCATGAGACTACTGAAATGTCTGCTTAGATTTTTAGCTTCTTAGCAGCTGCTTTTTACTTGTTTTCTTGGCAACTTGCCTCACACATGTGCAGCTAGAAGTTGGAAAATACCTCAAGGAAAAATTGCACATATAATACCCACTTTACATCTCTGCGGTTAGCTTTTCTTTCAGATCATGAGTCCTCAAGTTGTAGCGTTCTTGGTAGCCCTATCCACCAATTTTCAACTCCCCTGCCAATGCGACTGTTAGAAACTCTTGGCTGCTGATCTTTGTTCAGCGTCTATGTTCCACAAAGCAAACTGGCAAATGCCCTGAGGGTGGCAAGTAGAAACTAGTGTAGTGCTCACTTCTGTCTGTTTTTCTTCTTTCCAGCATTTTGGTCTTTCAAGATTGAGGGACATTTGGAAGATATAATGGAACTCCCACAGGAAAGAGTTTGTGTAGAGTACATTGCAGGAAAACCCAGGGATAGTGGTGAGGATTGAATGGCAAATAGAGAACTTTCTAAAATTACAGAAGTTTCAATTAGATGAAGCCTGGGAAGGGAGCCTCAGGTAACTTCACAAAAATGCCCATGAGAAAGAAAGAATCAGCTTTGAACAGCTGCTTGGCCCAAAGAGCAAGAAACCATCTTCGGGCACTCCTGATTTACATAAAGGAAGAGCTTTCTTATTCCTTTTTTTCTCCCCTCTTCCCACACTCCAATCTATTCTGAATTAGTAAGAACAAATAGATAATGTGGGTGACAGTCGAGGAAAAAAAGAGAAGAAGGACCCAATCCTCCCTTCCCATTAAGAGGCCAGCCTGCATAGTGTTTGTGCGGAGAGTAAACACAATGTCATGGGATGACTTACATTCCTAAATAATTCACTAGTTTTTGCCAACCGTGCTTCCAGTGGGAAACAACTGTATCACTGAAGCTCAGGTTCCAGTCTGCTCTCCACGGTCGCTGTATGGGGGCTCTTGGAATGCAGTTTGAAAGGTAGAATGGTTCTGAAGGCTTAAAGCCCCACTCCCCGAAGAGGAAGCTTGAAGAACAGAATTGAACCCAGTATGCTGATATATTCTTTTCTGAATTCTAAACTTTTTCCATTCTGGCCTTATTAATTTGATCTCATTTCTAAGCATAAAATAAATATAGCACTGAAAAAGGTGTTTGTGTCCCAGTGACAAATATAATCCATGTAATTGTTAAACGGGAAATTCCAGAATTCCCCTGTGATCCTGCCTTCTGTTAGGCAGGAAGAAGCATTCCCCCAAAGACAGAGTTGACTAGAGCCTCATGTCCCCAGAGGGCCTCATTGGAAGTTAGTCTTTGAAAGTTCTAGCATAAACATACTCCCACCCACCTGGCTCATGTACAGACTATGAACAACTTGGCTCTTCTTCCCAGCAGAGCAGTTTTCTGTATGAGTCACTTCTGTCTCCTTATTTTGGACTTTCCGCCTCAAGGGACCTTGAAGATCCATCCAATACTGTACTGAGAATGCACTCAGCAAATAATGAACAATAGAAAAACCTTCTAGAAAGACAATCCCCTCCTCCATGGTACTGAGTTCACTGAAAACCAATAACCTATGCCAAAGTAACACACAGATGCAAACATACAAGGGAATATGTTAGAAGATGAAGCTTTGTCTTTCTGAACAAAGAGACTGATGAATTCAAGTCTGGAAAACACAGCATCCCAATGCTGGGAAGTCTTGGGCAATCTCCCATAGGAGCAGTCATAATCCCTAGACCCAACCTTCACTTCTGGAGCTGCTGTGGAAGAGCTTATGTACAGAATAGACATACTGCATAGAACCAACACTTGAGAAGAGAAGGCTAAGCAAAAAGATACAAGAGGGCTCCTGGTGGTGGAATGGAACACTTAGGCAGTGGCCTTTCCTATAAGCATCCTTGGCTTGGTCCCAATGTCCTTAGTGAAGGTTGCAAAGTTTTGTCCTGATGCATTTGGCGTATCACAAATTATTTGGCTCTTTGCCTGTTTTCAGATCACCATGATGGAGGAACTACACTGAACAAGAAATATGTCCCTTCACAAGCCAAGTACAGTAAATGAGTTTTTATGCTTGTGGAATATATATATATATATTGCCAATCAGTTTGAGCTTATGAGGTTGCTCAGGTTAGCCTTGAACTCATGACCTCGCCTTTGCAAGCGCCACGACCTCCGGCGGGAGCCACTTTGGACCCCTGCTTGTGGAATATTTTTAATATTGTGGGATAAGAAGGGTCTTTCCTTTTCAATGTTAATTTTCTGACTATGCAAACCATTATTAGTATCTTGGGGCCCCTGGAAATAGCTATGGTCCCTATTGGTGCTTCCTTGACCACGGACTCACTAACATTTATCTGTCTAAAGTGAAAGGTATCTCTAATGATCCCAGCTGACATTTATTCAGTGCTTCTCACTCAGCGATCCCAAAGAGCTCTACAAGCTGATTTACGGGCTGTCCGCGGAGTGGAAGTGAATGGTAATGACCACAGTGAGGATGATGGTGATGGATCACCCAGGCTCTGGTATTTGATGTCATGTTGTTTCTGGGGCGTTTCCAATTTCCTGAACTTCCCGGTGATTAGAAGCGTAAGAGTGCTCCGTCCATTTCATCCTGCATTTCAGTGGAGATGACTCTGATTGGGGCCTTGGGAGACCTTAATTCTTGGTCCCCCTTACACAAATTTTAGTAATGAGCAGAGGGCAGACGTTTTGAAATGCTACAGAGTTTGCTGCATCCCTCCTCTTACAGAACGTGGAGACTTCTGCTCACCTCCCCTTTGGAGTGCCCTCAGCCACCTGAAATTCTCTGGGGCTTTTCTGCTCCATGGGGAAAAGGGAGGAGGCAGAAGACAGGATGAACGGTCAGTTTAGAAGGTTTATGGTGACATAATCAGCCACAGTGCTTTCTAATTTGTTTTTTAAGCCATGGAAAGCCCTGTTCCCTTTTCAAACAAAATTCTTTAGGGAATCAACATGTGAAGCAGATAAAACTGAGTTGTTCCACCCTAGTCCTTCACCCTCTCCCTGCATTATGGTGGTCCCTGAGACCTGGATGGAAAACCTCTGGTTCCCTGGGGTTCTGAGCTCTGATCTGATATGTACACAGGAGACCTGGATTTCTTTCTAGGGTTCCTCACAGACTTTTGAGTACATTATTGAATATCTATGTGCTCTCTCTCATCTCTAAAATAGAGACTAAATAGTCTTCATTGAATAACTACCATTGAGGTTTTTAAAGGTAGAGTGCAAGTATGCCTGAACTATAGTAATAATAGGGGCAATATGATTTCAGGCATAGTTCTAAATGCTCTCCCTTATAATTTAATTTAATTCCTATAACCTCCCTATGGGGCAGGTACTAATAAATCTCATTATTTTCTTTTTAAATGGTGGAAACTGAGGCACAGAGAGGTTATACAAATTTCCCAAGGTCACTCATCTTGTAAGTGATTCAACACCAGACAGTCTGACCCCAAAACCCTTGATATGAACCCCTGACATTTGGTTTTCAAACTTGTTTGCATATTAGAATTGCTTAAAGAATTAAATTTTTTTTTTTTAATTTCAGAAGACCAGGTTGTACCCCAGGCCAATGAAATCACAGTCTCTGGGTGTGGAACATTAGTGACAGTATTTTTTAAAATTTCATTTATGGGTTGAGTTATGAGCCCCCAAAAAGATATGTTGAGGCCCTAAACCTTGATACTTCAGAATGTGACCTTATTCCTAAACAGGGTCATTGCAGGATGTAACTGCTAAAGTGAAATGAAGTCATATTGGAATTGAGTGTGACCTTAATCAGTATGACTGATGTCCTTATAAGAAGATGGCCGTGTGAAGTTGGAGTCTGGTGAGCTATGAATGGCCCCTGGTTAGAGCACAGCATAGCTAGAGAAGGGCGCTTAGGCAAAAGAAGTCCAGAATGGTAGGTGAAGGCAATTTTCTTTGGCTTCCAAATTCCCATCTTTTCCTGCTTTCTCTTATTTTTTTAGTCTCCATCTCAGTCTTCCTTGTCACATCATACATGGCCTTGAAGCATTAGAATTCTTTAAAGCTTCATGGGAGAATGCCATGTGATGATGAAGACAAAGATTGGAGTCACACATCTGCAAACCAAGAAATGTACACGATTGCTGGCAAACCACGAGAAGCTGGGAGCAGGCAAGGAAGGACCCCCTCCTAAAGGTTTCAGAGGGAGCCATGGCCTTGCTGACATCTTGATTTCAGACTTCTACCCTCCAGAATGTTGAGACACTGAATTTCTGTTGTTTTAAGCCATCCAGTTCATAGTACATTGTGATGGAAGCCTGGGAAACGAATACAGCTTCCCGAGTGATTTCAATGTGGAGACAGATTTGAGAATTACTGTTATATTTTAATCTCACTTCTTAAGAACTTACTGTGTGGATGGGGAAAATCCCTATTAGATAACTTAGTCTTGATTAGGGCTGGTGCAAGTCCTTTGTCATCCTATGCTGGTACTGGCTGTGCCACCTTCTAAGGCATGGGTCAGTGTTGGCCAGGTGTATTTGAGAAGGAAGATGCTTGACTTTAGGGGAGAGTTGGAGAATCACTCCCAATGCTCCTGTTCACAGGGAAAAGTGTAGTGGTGGGAGTGACTATGGGTATAGAGTAAGACATGCCTGGCACAGGAGAGTTGAGGATGGAAAGGTGCAGAATGAGCATTTTCTTTATAGCCAGTACAGTATAATACTGCAAAAAAATGGTCATGGGGGATAGAGGGCAGTCAACAAGGCTACCTGCAATCTAGAGACGCAGACACAGGTCAAATAGAGCCCCGTGAGAGGCCATCGGGGTGTTTGGAAGAAGTGGGTATTCAAATGCCTCACAGATAAGGTGCTGTTTAGGCACAAGGGTCAGATTTCATCACTGATGTGTGTGAAGGCTGTTCCAGGGACAAGAAACACCTTGAGCAAAGGTGTGGAAGAGGAATGAATGGGTAGAGTCGTGAGTGGTCTCTGGTTAGAGTATAGGAGAGCTTGGATACAAGGGAAGAAGGGTAGATCGGTAGATTAAGGCAATTTTCTTTTGGGATTTGAATATCATGATGAATATTTTTTCCAACTTCATTTTGTAAGCAAAATGGAGTCAGCAGGCTTTTGATCAGGGAAGAAACACCATCATTAACTTCAAAGATCTTGATAACATTTCACAGGGGCCATCTTCTATGTCTCAAGCTGAAGTGTCTCATTTAGTTTTTCCAATGACTTTATGGAATAGCTACTATCATTATTCCAATTTAATATGTTTTAGGAACTGAAACTAAGGAAATTTCAGTTACTGCTGAAGTCACATAGTTGTTAAATGCAGAAACTTGGATTTGAAAACTGGTTATTTGATTCTGGAGTCTGTAGGCTTAACTGACTTATCACTAGGGTTTCCATCATTGGTGTCAAAGGAAAATACCCCCACTGGCAGTGTGAGGCAGGTGGGTAGTGGCTTGCAGGAGGAGAGAACAGGGATAGGCCAGCTATAATAGAAAGTGACTTCAGAATCATTTGAAATATCTCAAAAGAAGGCCAGACAAGATTTAGCAACTGCTTTTGTATTGAGAGATATTCCCTTGGTTAAAGATCGTTTACTGGGAGAAAGATAATACCTTCATTGAACTGTAGAATGCAGGGAGAGGTGTACATTCCTGCATAGAAGATAATGAGGTCTTTTTGGGCATTTTCCAAAAGAAGTAGTTTCAGACTATTCATGTATGTGTTTGGGAAGTACATGGAAATATAATTTGGAGGTAGCTGTGCTGCAAGAGATGGATCACTGGGCCTGGCTCTGAGAATTTAGAAGTAGGGTTGCGGAGACAGTGTGTGGTGCTTAAATCCATAGGCTCTGGAGCTCAACAGTTGGCTTGAATCTGTAACCATCTGTTTATTAGCTGTGTGTCCTTAGAAACACCTCATTTCTTCATCTGCAGAATGGGGATACTAACTCAGATTCATATTTCACAGTACTGTGTGGAGGATGAAATGAGAGGAACCACGTGGAGCACTTGGCACAAGACACATGCTTAAGAAACAGGCATTGCATTTGTTTTTGCTTCTTCTAATCCAGAAAAATGCGCTTTGGTGATGCCCCTCACTCTTCATTTCGTTTCCCTACCAAGACATTTCTGTGTCCACATTAGAACTTGGTTTTCCTTGTTTAATCTTGCAACATAGCAGCTTTTTTTCTTTTTCCTTAATGCTCAGTTTCTCTACAAACATAGGAGAATCTTTTAGTCTTTCCTTTTTTCCTTTTTCTGGACTCAGTATGGATGGGATTTGCTCCAGTGTAGCCACCTTACTTCATGGAGCTACATGCCTTTGACTGAGGAGGGGACCAGGCAGTCCACATTGCTCAGTTCCTCCTGTTACCTTTGGTGGTACAGCTCATTTGTTTATTTCACAAGTTACTTCTGAGCATCCTTAGGCAACAATTCAGGAATTTTCTTTGTGTGCTTTACAAGTAGTATCTGGTATATAACATAGATATATGTAGAACAGATATGAAGAATAACTGATCTTCTTAGGCAAGATTGAGTGGAATCAGATAACAACAAGAAAAGCCTAAGTTTGGTTTCCTCCTCTTTCAGTTCTGGAAGTGTCTGTAACAAAGGAGAGAAGTATAGAGGAAATGACTCAGTATCATCATTTCAATTATGATGGTTAAGAGAAAGAAAAATAAACTTTGTACCCTGGAGAAAATAATGAACATGTGTGGGTGGGGTCATCTGTCCCTGATGATTTGGGGGCTGTCATTAGAAACCAGCTTGAAAGAAGGGTTGTGTGGGTCCCTACAATAGCCTCATAACTGAGGTCCTTCCCAGGGTTGCTCCTCCTTCTAGTCCATGCCAACCCCAAGCATTGCCTCAATTTATCTTTTTTAAAAGCACACTTTTGGCCAGGTGCAGTAGCTCATGTCTTTAATCCCGGCACTTTGGGAGGCCGAGGTGGGTGGATCACCTGAGATCAGGAATTTGAGACCAGCCTGGCCAACAAGGTGAAACCTGTGTCACTACTAAAAATACAAAAATTAGCCAGGCATGGTGATACATGTCTGTAATTCCAACTACTCAGGAGGCTGAGGCAGGAGAATCACTTGAACCTGACAGGCAGAGATTGCAGTGAGCCAAGATTGCACCATTGCACTCCAGCCTGGACAACAAGAGCAAAAACAAAACAAAACAAAACAAACAAACAAAAAAACTCTGTCTCAAAAAAAAAAAAAAAAGAAAACAAACAAAGAACCAGAAAACATTTTTATCAAGTTACTCTCCATCTAAAAATATTTTTATGACTTCTCTGTGCCTAAAGAAGTGAGTGCCAAAGCTTTTCGGTAGTCATTGAAGTGCTCTGCCCTCAGGTCCATCTCATCTCTCTCCCCTTCTCTTTCCCACACCGCATCCATGCAGTGCATCAGAACTTCTTGTACTCCTCATTCCCACCTCCATATGTGGCCTGTATCTTTGTGTTATACACGAATATCCCCCGGAGTCAGCATCCATTTGCTGAGGGATCAGCAGTTTTTAATTCTCTCATGCATTTGCCTCCTAGATTAGCCCTATCCACCTGCCCTCCTGGCCCCCTTCGTTTTCGCAGACCCACAGTTCACCCGCCTCCTACCCCACCTGCATACTCAAGTTAAAACTTAGATTATTTGCAAAAGATCAATAAGCACACTAATGAAATACATGTAATTGAAAAGAGAGTGCGGTCTGCAATGTCAAACCGTGGGTTGAGGATGAAGGCTGTGGACTGAGCTTTAGCGTTCCATAGCATTTGGCTTAAGGTGGAATAGACTTTGTGAGAGCTACAGGCTTCTAGGGGCCAAGCCTACATCTCTGGTAATGTGAAGGGTTTTAGAGAGGAGGTGTTAAGAACATCCTCATGATCTGAGAGACTAGGACTCCTTAAACATTTAATGTAGGTAACAGGAAGGAGCTTGAGAGAATCTAGTTCAGTAATTATTTATGATCCTTCTGACTGCCTATCTGAGTCATTCTATCCACCAGTCAACTTGAATTTACCAGATTTCTCTGATCCTAATTGAATTGATTCATATAAACCACAGTGAGTTTCTTTTTGGACACAATGCTCCACGGAATTAATCAAACTTTGGGTTTGTCTACTACAATCAGCTCAATAGTTGCTTTCTGCCCAAGGATGACTCCTTGCCTTCATTACATCTGAAGGTTTCAGCTTTTGTTAGCACACACCATCTCAATCAATACAGCCAAGTGCAGCTGTCTCCTAAACGAGGATGTCAAGCTAAGGCCCCGATAACCAGTGGCCACTAAATGCTTAATGACCTGCTTTGTGTGTCCCAGCACCCTTCGTCGCTCAGTCTAGGGCCTTGGACCTACCTTGAAAAAATACTCTTTTCGATCGAGACCATCCTGGCCAACATGGTGAAACCCATCTCTACTAAAAATACAGAAAAATTATCTGGGCATGGTGGCATGAGCCTGTAGTCCCAGCTACTCGGGAGGCTGAGGCGGGAGGATTGCTTGAACCCAGGAGGCGGAGGTTACAGTGAGCCGAGGTCGCGCCATTGCACTCCAGCCTGGCGCCTGGTGACAGAGTAAGACTCTGTCTCAAAAAAAAAAAAAAAAAAATACTCTTTTCTAAATTTACCCTGTTACCGTTTTTATTTTCCTTATTTAAGATTTGGTTATAATGCATCACCACAGTGCACTAGGAAACACAAAGTGGCACCCGGAAGTTGGCAGAGCTGAGAATCATCAGCGCCATGGCACCTTCTGCCTCCAAGAGGGTAGCATTTCCTTAATATGGTGCTTATTAGTGCTGTTTACCACAAATATTCTCATCTCTCCTCATTCCAAGGATGTACATGATATGATTGGCATTTTCTGACTCCATTTTTGATGGTGTCCTGTGACTAGTTTTGGCCCATGAGTTGAAAACATGAGCAACATGTGTCATTTCTTTGCTGTAGCATTAAGGTCAACACGAGACTCTTCCAGGTTCAGTTTTCCCTTTGCTACTGTATTAGTCTGGGTTCTTCAGAGAAACATATTATTATAAGGAATTGGTTCATATAGTTATAGAGGCTGAGAAGTCTCAAGATCTCTGGTTGGTGAGCTGGAGACCCAGGAGAGTTGATGATATATGTTCCAGTCTGAGTCTGAAGGCCTGAGAATGAGGAAAGCCAATGATGTAAGTCTGAGTCTGAGTCTAAGGCCAAGGACAGAATACCAATGTCCCTGATGATTTGGGGGCTGTCATTAGAAACCAGCTTGAAAGAAAGTTTATGTGGGTCCCTACAATAGCCTCATAACTGAGGTCCTTCCCAGGGTTGCTCCTCCTTCTAGTCCATGCCAACCCCAAGCATTGCCTTGATTTATCTTTCTTAAAAAGACACTTTTGGCTGGGCGTGGTGGCTCACATCTATAATCCCAGCACTTTAGGTGGCTTAAAGACAATGAGGGGCCAGGCACAGTGGCTCATACCTGTAATCCCAGCACTTTGGGAAGACGAGGTGGGAGGATCACTTGAGGTCAGGAGTTTGAGACAAACCTGACCAACATGGTGAAACCCCGTCTCTACTAAAAATACAAACAAACAAAAAAAAAAATTAGCTGGGCATGATGGTGGGTGGCTGTAATCCCAACTACTCAGGAGGCTGAGGCAGGAGAATTGCTTGAATGCAGGAGGCGGAGGTTGCAGTGAGCCAATATCGCACCATTGCGCTCCAGCCCGGGATGCAAGAGTGAAAATCCATCTCTATAAATAAATAAATAAGGACAATCAGGCAGAGAGAGGGAAAAGGCTCTCTTACTCAGACTTTTGCTCTATCTACGGCTCAGGTTAGATGAGGACCACTCACACTGGGGAGGGCAATCTGCTTCACCCAGTCTACTGGCTCAAACATTAATCTCATTTAGAAACACTCTCACAGATACACCCTGAATGATGTTTGACCACATATCTGGGCATCCCAGGCCCAGTCAAGTTGACACATACAATTAACCATCACAAGTCCATCCTTTGTCAATTTGGCACCCATATGAATCTTCTTAAACCATGTTTAATCTCCAAATAAAGACAATAACAAGGCTGTAATTCCACCCAACATGATACAACTATCCTGCATACAACTGAAAACACAGTAACCCTTCCCCAGAAAAAGAGGTAAAGTCCTTGAGAGATGTTTATTCTTCTCCTTGATATCTCATACATGAAATAGTATGGAATATAATTAACAATATTTAAATGTTATGATATGAAATCAGTATATCTTATGCTATATGATAAGCGAATAAGAGAGGAAAGAAAACAAAGATTTTTGCTCTGTATACAATTTTATATATATATTTACAACAAATAAAAAGGAAATCCTCATGAAAATTACAATCCTCATTTCTGTAAGTGGTTATGTGATCATAGCTGCTGCTTATAACTGTCTTCTTCTACTAGCCATTCTGTATTCCTTTGCCCTCTGCAAATGCCTCAGTTATGTCTTTTCAACTAGTGGAGCTACCCAAACCCTTATTCCTGAAGGATCTGGGTTGTTGTGGTTTTCAATTGACCTAATCCCAGGGCATGGTGATACTAAGAGATGCCTTAAGAAATCTCCTATATTACAGACATACTCTTGTTTACCTCCATTATGTAGTTGCCCAATTTACCCCTGTTAGTCAGCATCAGTCATCCCAGCCAGCACACTAACTTTCTTCTTTGCTTATTGATTCAAAGGTATGCAGAGTTCCAAGGGCCCAGTGGCAGTGTGAATTTTCAGTTCAATGGAGTCAGCATTTTTTCTCCTTTTAAAAGCATTCCTTCCCTTGAAACTAAGATCACTAGGCTAGCAGAGCATTTTACTAGTGGGTCACTAAGGGTAATAGTGAGTGTTGCCACTCCCATTTCTGCGCATTCATTCCTGAACCTGTGAATCCTGGCTTTGAGAGAAACAGCCCATATATGAGATGCTGATTCAGAGCATGCAGCCTTCAGGAGAACCTTGCACCTGCCCTGCATGGTATTGCCACTGGTATTGCCACCTGGTATAACTGAGTCTTTGAAAGGCTACTTTACCATTCTATTAAATCAGCTGCTTCAGGATGGTAGAGCATAAGGTAAGGCCATGAATTCTATGACCATGGGCCCTGGGCCCATCGCTGCACATCAGTTGCTGTGAAGTGAGTTCCTCAACCAGAAGCCATAATTTATAGAATATTATAATGATATATAAAGCACTCTATAAGCCCACAGATGATGGTTTTGGCAGAACCAATGTGTGCAGGGAAGGCAAACCCATAATCAGAGTCAGTGTCTATTCCAGTAAGAACACATCTAATCTCTTCCATGATGGAAGTGATCCAGTGAAATCAGCTGGCCTCCAGGTAGCTGGCTGGCCACACCAAGGAATGGTGCCATGTTGTGGACTCAGTATTGGTCTCTGCTGTTGGCAGATTAGACACTCAACAGTAGCTGTAGCTGGATTGGCCTTAGTGAGTGAAAGTCATGTTTGCTGAGCCCAGGGATAACCTACATCCCTGCCACCATGGCCAGCTGGTTCATGACCTTATTGGGTCATGACTAGGATGGCTGGGAAAATAGACTGACTAGTATCCACAAACTGGGTCATTCTATCCACTTGACTATTAAAATGAGCATTCACATGAGACACAAATATGTTTACATTTTTTTGTGCATTCAGAGATGTCTATTTACATACCTCTGTCCCAGATATCACTGTCACCAACTTGCAAATCATGTTCCTTTTAAGTCCCTGACAATCTGGTAAAACCACTGGCTACAGCTTATGAATCAGTATATAATCACCTGTCTTGCTATTTCTCCTTCCAAGCAAAATATACAACCAGGTATACTGCTCAAAGTTCTGCCCACCAGGAGGATTTCTCTTTGCCACTGTCCTTCAGGGATATCTTAGGAAGGGGCTATAGTGGTACAATTGTCCACTTTCAGGTGGGACCTGCATATCATGCAGAGCCATCTGTAAACCAGGCCTAAGCCAAGTCTTCTCCTTCTCCATCAACTGATTCTAGGGCACTCCCCAAGAGGCTGTTGGTGCAGGCTGGGAGAGAGAATGCACTGTAGCAGGAGTGAGCACCATGGGCATTTGGACCACATCTACATGTAACTTACTTGTGTCTTCAGGGCCTGCTCAGGCCTGATTATGTATATACCACTTCTGTTTGATGGTGGAGTGCTGCTGTGTATGTCCAACTTTATGACTTGGTGGGTCAAATGACATTCAGTTCATGATGGGTAGCTCAGGTTGCCTAGCAACCTGGTGACACATGGTTAAGCATTTAGTTTCCACTAAGGGCCAGCAGTGGGTCAAGAACAACTTCTCAAAAGGAGAGTAGTTATCTGCAGAGGATGGCAGTGTTTTGTTCCAAAATCCTGAGGGCCGGAACAACAGTTCGCCTTTAGGGGCCTGTCAAAGGCTCCAAACAGCATCTCCATCTACCACTGGCACCTCAAACACCATTGGATCTGCTGGCTCATATAGCCCAAGTGTCAGAGCAGCTTGCACAGCAGCCTGGACCTGTTGCTGAGCCTTCTCTTATTCTTAGCTTCATTCAAAATTGGCAGGTTTGGGGTCATTCAATGAATGGGGTAGAGTCAGATACTCAAATGAGGAATGTGTTGCCTCAAAACATCCAGAGACCCAGTTGGCATTTTGACTTTTTTCTTTTTTTTGGTTGTAAGGGAGGTCAGATGCAAGGACTTATCCTTCACTTTAGAAGTGATGTCTCGACATGCTGCAGGCCATTGGACCCATAAGAATTTCACTGAGGTGGAAGGCCCCTGAATTTTTGTCACATTTTTTACTGCTGAATATGCAAATGTCTTACCAGTAAGTCTAGAGTAGTTGCTACTTTTGTTCAGTAGGTCCAATCAGCATATTGTCAGCAATGTCATGGAACGGTGGGTGTGACATCTTACAGAAAGGAAAGCAGTCAGGATCCCTGTGAACTAAATTGTGACATAGGGTAGAGAGTTGATATGCTCCTGAGATCGGACAAGGTATATTGCTGGCCTTGTCAGCTGAAAGCAAACTGGTACTGGTGGGCCGTATAAACCAGTATGGAGAAGAAGGCACTTGCCAGATCAATAGCTGCATACCACGTACCAGGGGATGTGTTAATTTGCTCAAGCAATGACACCACATCTGGTGCAGCAGCTGCACTTGAAGTTAACACCTGGTTAAGCTTTCAGTAATCCACTGTCATTCTTTCAGATACATCTGTCTTCGGCATAGGCCAAATAGGTGAGTTGAATGTGGTGGGAATCACTACTTGTCTGGGTTCTCCAGAGAAACAGAGCCAATGTGATATCTCTATCTACATCTGTATCTACATACATGTTTATTACAAGGTATCAACTCATACAATTATGAGGGCTGAATAATCCCATAATCTGGTATCTGCATGCTAGGGACCCAGAAAAGCTGATAGTGTAGTTCTTGTTGGAGTTAAATGCCTGAAAACCAGAGAAGCAATGATTTATATTCCAGATCAAGTCTAAAGGCCTGAGAACTGGGAATGCCAATGGTGCCAAGGGTAAGAGAAGATCCAGGTCTTTGTTCAAGCGGTCATGCAGAGTGAATTCTCCATTTCTCTGCCTTTTGTTCTACTCAGGACCCCAGTTTATTGGCTCATGCCCACCCACATTGGGAAGGGCAATCAACTTTATTTAATCTCCCAACTTGAATGCTAATCTCTTCTGGAAACACTCTCACAGACACACCAAGAATAATGTTTAATAGAATATCTGGACAGCCTCTGTCCCACTCTAGTTGACACATAAAATTAATGATTACATTACCTCTGATCTTTCAAGTCCTTGATGGTGGCACTAATCTCTGTAATTCTTCCAGGAATACAGTACAGATTGAGTATCACAAAATCCAAAATGCTCCAAAATCTAAAACTTAAACTGACCTGATCCTCAAACGAAATGCTCATTGTAGCATTTAAATTTTAGATTTTCAAATTTGGGTTGCTGAACCATTAAGTATAATGCACATTTTCCAAAATTAAAAATAGATCCCAAATACAAAACACTTCTGGCCCGAAGCATTTTTGCATAAGGTATACTGCACCTGAATTGCATTTGGTTTACTATTTTTCTATGTAGAGGTAGTTCTAGTGGCTTCCACTTGGCATTCCCCATCACAATAGCCCCCACTTTACAGGTCATTGAATTAATGTGGGCATTTTGCCACACGCTGAGTAGATCTACCCCAAATATACATTCTGAAACTGAGGAAAGGTCACATGATAGGTTTAGGGACTCACTGGATCCGCTATAGGATGGACCTGGGCTAAAACTCCATCGCCGGACCTCCATAAGCTCTTGCTCTAACTAGATAGCCACAGTGACATTTCGGATTTTGTGGAATCAGTATCAGTTCAGAGATGGTGTTCAGTAGTCCCTGAAAGGCCTAATTATTTCTTTTATTTTCCCAGTGTACAGTTACTCTAGTAAAAGGCAAATGTCCCCATTCCTACTGACAGAATCCTTTAGGAAATGCTGGGAGAAAGATTAAGAGTACACATTTTTTGTTAGTGTACTCGGATTCTTCCTTGAGGGGACTCAACTTTGCATTTATTCAAAGAGTTCTGGGTTCATAAACTGGCTCAACTCTGATAATTGATTAAGGAGCTATGACTCGGGCCGGGCGCGGTGGCTCAAGCCTGAGGCGGGTGGATCACGAGGTCAAGAGATCGGGACCATCCTGGTCACCATGGTGAAACCCCGTCTCTACTAAAAATACAAAAAATTAGCTGGGCATGGTGGCGTGTGCCTGTAATCCCAGCTACTCAGGAGGCTGAGGCAGGAGAATTGCCTGAACCCAGGAGGCGGAGGTTGTGGTGAGCTGAGATCGCGCCATTGCACTCCAGCCTGGGTAACAAGAGCAAAACTCCGTCTCAAAAGAAAAAAAGGAGCTATGACTCTCTTGTTACTATAATTTGAGTTAGATGTTTGTTCACTTGATCTGGAACTTTTCTGCTTATACAGATCAAGTAAGAATTTAGTAGGCATCTATCTAGTTCACATTTAGGAACACAGTGATTAGCTAACACCGTAGATCTGAGCACGTCAGACTATTCTGATTGCTGCTTTGCCTCTACTATTACGGTAACCACACCCCCTTTGCCTTTGGCAGTTGAGTGCTGCCACTTGGCCTCTGCCACCCCATCCCATTGCATTTAGATTTCCCAACTCAGTGTCTGCAGTCCATATTATCAGTTCTGACCTCCAAGAAGTGATCACAGAACTCAATAAGGGTGTTATGTTTCCCATCACAAATTTGCTTCCCATAGTAGTGATGAAAGATGTCTTGTTAGAGGCCCATCTAACTCCCTTAGCTGCAACATTAAATGCAGAATCTCTGCATGGTGGACTCATGTCAATAAATTCAGAATGATATAATTTAATGTTCCTTTCACTATTATCCCACACGTTTAATATCCGTTTCCACATATTAACCCAGATTTCTGGCTGTGTAAATTAGAAAACTCAAGTGGTTCTGGAGTCTGGCCATCTCTTAATGAGTCACACATTTTAACTCACCTGTAGGGGCCTTTTGTGACTTGAGTCTAGTTGTAGGTCAAGAATCAAGGAGAAGTAGTCGAGATAGGTCCTGAGGAGAATCAGTATTGTCTTCCATGGCAACTGCCTCAGAGGAGGCCATTACAGTTTCCTTGGGCAATGAGGGGTTACTTTCTGAAGATGAGATTAGAGAAGCCACTATCCCACACCCAGTAAGGTTGCTTCTACTGGGGATGAGGAGGTCACTTGCACTGGGAGTGGGAAAGCCTCTTTCACTGCCAAAAAAAGATGCATCACAATTTAAGGGCTCGATGTCCCCACCTTCATCAGGGTCTTCTCACATGTCCCCATTCCTACTTACAGAACCTCATTCTTTCCTAATCAATACCTGTGAAGATGGGAGTTAAATTTGCATTGTGATTCAGCCAGTCACAGGATGAGATTCTGCATTTGATTTTCAGCAATCTCAGCCCTGTGGCTTCAGGAGACAAGGGTCTCCTTCAGAGCATACAGAGATCTCTTCAGATCATTTACAGGATGCTTGAGCTGGGAATTTAAGTCCCTGAACTCATCTTTGTCTTTCACTACTTTGTTCAGCAATATTAGGAACAATAAGTCAATTTAATAATAATATTAATTAGTTTTCCAAAAATGTTCAAAAGTATCATATACATAGTCACCCAACTCCTTATTCTTATAAATGGTTAATTTGGAGTATTCAGTGACGATATGTTGTGTCTCTGTTACTGATCACTCTATGGCCTATCATTGCTCTCTTTACTACTGGAAATAGAGTTATTAGTGTCTTTAGATCTAACTGGATTACAGAGCCAATTCCAGAAACCCCAGAACCAATTTAGAAAACTCATCCTTAAAACTCTGTTCCTCTAGAATCATGCTTGGTAAAACTCATCCTTAAAACTCTGTTCCTCTAGAATCATGCTTGGTATCTAAATTTGTATTAATCTAGGTTCTCCAGAGAAACAGAAGCATCTCCCTCTCTCTCTCTCTCCATACACACACACACACACACACACACACACACACACACACAAACACACACACATGTTTTGTATATAAATATATATATAACATGAAGAAGTTTATTATAAGGAATTGACTTAAGCAGTTAAAGAGACTGACAAATCTCAAGATCTGCTGTTGGCAAGCTGGAGGCCCAGAAAAGCTGGTGGTTTAGTTCTAGTCTGAGTCTGAAGTCCTGAGAATCAGGAGATCTGATAGTGTAAGTTCCAGCCAGAGCCAGAGGCCAAAGGTGGCAGAAGACTGATGTTCCAACTCAAAAATAATGAGCCAGTAAGAGCGCAAATGTTCCTTTACTCAGACCCAAGTCTTCAATGGATTTCATGAAGTTTACCCACATTGAAGGTGAACAAAAGGAGGGTAATCGTCTTTACTCAGTCTACAGATTCAAATGCTAATCTCTTCAGGAAATGCCTTCACAGACATACCCAGAATAATGTTTAACCAGCTATCTTGGCACCCTGTGTCACATTCAAGTTACATATAAGATTAACCATCACAGCTACTATGGCTGACATAACTTGGCAGCTCTGTTAGCCTTGGACATAGTAATGATAGCAGAGATTTAGAGCAGAGCCCCCAGCCAGCCTACCACAGGCAGGTAGCATGAACAAGAAATCAACCTCTATTGTTTCTAACTACTGGTATTTTTAAGTTTTTGTTACTGTAGCATAACTTAATTTCTCTCAGTGAGATAGGTAGCTTGCAAGACAATAATAATAATAGAAACTCTTGTAAGGTGTGTAAGGAGCACATTACTAATATGCGCTTGCTAATCTGACTCCCAAATTTACATTCCTAACTCATACTTCTTATCTGGGCTCACACTTACTTGTCTAATGTCTTTCTTTGACATATCCACTTGGATGTCTCAAAAGATGTTTCAAAATCGGGCCTGGGGTGCACTTGTGAATATTTCCCAAACCTGGACTATTTCCAGTCTTGTGTCACCATGTAGCACCAGCCTGGTCTCTGTTATTTCAGTCAGCATCATCAGAACTTCTCTCTTGTTTCATGGGAATTCTGATGAGACATCATCTTTCCATCACAAAGTCTTGATGATTCTACCTTCAGAACATAGCTTGTCTCTCTCTGCTCCATCTTGATTGTCAACATTCTAGCCAAAGCCACTGCTACCCACCATTTAGATTACTGCAGCAGCCCCCAACATTCTCTCCATCTCTCCTGTGCCTTTTCAACTGACTCTGCATAATAAACACAAAGATCTTCAAAAAATAAATAAGATCTTGTTTATACCCTAATGGCTCCACATTAAAATTTAGAATAAATATCCAGATTTCTCACTGTGGCCTACAAGGTCCTGTGTAGTCTGGATCCTCCCATCTCTCCAGCTTCATCTCTTATCTCTCTGGTCCCGGTACACACTGACCATCTCTCAGTTGCTAGAACAAACCATGTCTTTCAGGCATCAGGGGCTTTGCTCTTGCTGTTCCCTGTGGAATTCTCTCCTGTTGGTCTACAAATTGCTTATTCCTTCCTGTCTCTTAGTCTCAGCTAAGCAAGGTGAATAAGTTCTAGAAGATCTCCTCTACAACACTGTACCTGTGGTCAATGACACTCTACTGTACACTTAAAATTTGTTTAGAGAGTAGATCTCATGTCAGTGTGTTTATTACAATAAAAAGAGTAGATCTCATTGTTATTTTCTAGTTATTCCTATTTGTTTTTTTGAGGGTACTTATTCACAACCTGCAAATTCATGTAATTCACTTAATTCATTTTTTAATGTGTGCACTGTTATTTTCACTAGAATAAAATCTTCAAGGGGAGGGGGATCTTGTCAGTCTTGTCATCATGACAATCCTGGTATCCTGTGAAATGAAAATACATAGAATGTTTTCATAATATGTTTGAATGAATGAATCCTTATTTCACAAATGAAGATAAGACTTAGGAGGCACATGACTTACCCAGAATACAGTGAGTGGCAAGGCTGGGTCTCCAGTCACATTTCCAAACCCTGCAGTCTGTGATTTGATTCCACATAACATAGACTTTCATGTTGCCACTTGAAAAGCAGAAAAAGGTAATGTTCTTGAAACCCATTTTTTTTAACAGAATTCTATGTATGCTTCCTTTTTCCCTCACCACTAGAACGGGTGACTTTGCAACACCAGCAGCCTGACTAAACTCATTTTTCATATTATAGAATGTTATTAAACGGCACCACACAGATAAGTACTAGAAAAATTGCCAGGTTATTTTTCTAACATAAAATTAGCCAATTTGCCTGTATATGAGATTGGAAAGGAGGCAGAGCATCCCATTCAAGTGATTAACCTCTCAGTTAATAAAAGCAACAATTTTGTGCGTACAAATAATATGAGAAAAGGAACATTCATATCAAAGTTTTGTAGCCCTCCCATTCCTGTGCTCATCTCCTTAATTGGTAAATAATTCATCAAACTCTGAATTGAATTGTGTTCCCACCCACATTTCTTCATCCAATCATCATGAAAGAGGAAAGCAGGCTCTTTCTCCCATTGGAAGTCATGAGATAATGAAATTGTTCAGGGCTTTCCTGAGCCTGTGCTAGGCTAGATACAGAACCCAGCTGCCATGGGCCTTGTCGGGTAACTGAACAGCACTTCTGGAGGCTCAGAAGAACTGAGCTTGTCCCTTTAGTTTGACCTCTTGCACCCAAAGTTCATGCATTTATCTTTCTACTACAGTGCCCATAAATATTACCTGTTGTGAGTGTGACTTTCAATAGAAGAAACAGGCTGTGTGAAACAGCCAGTTGGCTGAAAATTTTAATCTAACTTTTGCATCAAATGAGTTGCACAGATCCATTTTTACAATGCTGATGAGCCACAATTCCTGGACACAGAAATGTCCTTTTATGTTGTAAATTATGTAAGATTATTGCTGAAAGTTTCTTGTGGGAGCTATAACTTTTTCCCCTTTGGACTTTTTCATGTGTGGAAAAAACCCTACATTAGATATAAATTAATATACTCTTGGGCTGATGACCTTTGGTTTTCTGCCTTTTACCTTTAAATTAAGGTAGAATAATGCCCAACATAGTGTAATTTGCCTTTGCAAAACTCTTATATGTATGTCACTGTAATTCCCAAGGACGGCCTTGCTAATAAATCCCATTAAAAAATTCCTTTTCTGAATCGTTTTCGTTCCTCTCATGAGTTCTGTTTAGAATTTTATCGCTATCGTACGCAACAGCTTCAACTTTGTTGTAGCTAGATCACAGAGGTTGTGTACTGCACTTACAACAGCAGTGTTTATACTTGGGGTTTCTTTATTTTCCCTCCAATGCATTAGAGTTTTATGGAAAAAGATAAAACAGTTACTGCCTCCTTTACCGCAGCTTTTTGAATAGCCTCTTCAGCTTGAAGTTTATGGATGCCGAAAAATCATCTTAATTTGCAGATTGCGGAAGCACTGTTCTCTGGGCCTCAGTCTCTAGTCAAGCAAAGGGGGAAATGGAAATGTCAGCAGCAGCATTTGTGATGGACTCGGTGGGGAAACTTTTCCTTTTGAGTCAAGATGGAGCAAATTACCCAAGTGGGCTGGTGAAGGCCTGTGAAAGAGATTCAGCCGTGGGCTTTCGTTCTTCTTCACTGCGTCAGTTGGTCAATGGCAATATTCAGCTTTACCTTTTGTACGGTTTGAAGTTGTAGCCTATACTCTTACTTTAAAAATGATAGCTTGAGGACAAGACATTTTAATTTCTCCCTAAAAATGTCCCCGTCTCTTTGGAAATAAATAAGCTGTTCTTCACTGTTGCGTGAGAAACAGTGTTGTGAAATTCTGGTTATTTCTGCTACTTACAGCTGCTCTACAGAGACAAAGATATTTCTGTAGAAATGAACAATGGGAAAAGAACCATACCAGAATTGGATTGACTGGACTTGCTCAAGCAACTATGTCTTAATCTTAATTAACCAGCTTTTGACATCTGGATGCGGGAATTGCCGGCTCTGTCACATGAGGACTTTATAATCAGTGTCCTCGAGGTGGCTACCCTGAGAATTTTTCTCTGTAGAGTAAATTCTTTCTATCAGACACTGTACACAATATCCCAATCCACAGCAGTGAAACTTTGATCAAGGTCAGGACAAATGGACTTGGAGGAATTTCTAGTTGAGAAGGGCAGATATTTTTTTTCTGTGACTGGCAGGAGAGCAGCTCTTCTTTATTTGGGAAAGGCATACTCTCAGAGCAAGGTGCAGATTTGGAGCTGGTCTGCCCATAACATGCTGCGTGCGAAGGGCTGCCTGTCTAGCAGACTGATCAGCTGAAACAGCTCTCATCTCAGATCCGTCTCCAATCTGATGATTAGCAGTGCTCGGCTAAGGATTAGAGAAGAGACACTCTTCTGCAAATAGGCCCTTTTTCTAAGCAAGATCATGAAACACACAACACTTGTAACATTGATTTTCGTGGCCCTCTCCTGCCTTACCAGACCCCCAGTCTCCCTCCTCCTACCAGGTCTCCATTTCTCTTGGTTGCTTTCTCTCCTTTAGCCTTATCTTCAAAATCTAGCTAGCCATTGTCCTGGTCCTTTAAAGTCCTGATCTCACCGCCTTGATAGTAGAAAGGGAACAGGGAACTAACATGTACCGACCTTCCATGGTCACCAGCCCTTGTTTAAGAAGATTTAGTGTCCTTGCATTTGAGCTACAGTTAACTTATGTGACTTATCTCTATTTAACTGATGAGAACACTGTGGTTCCCAGTTGCCTAACAACACACAGCATGTAGAGTCAGAACTGGAATAAAGTGTCTTTGACTTCAAGGGCTATGCCCAACTAACCCTTTCTACTATCATCCCTGCAAGGTTACATAATTTCTTAAGCCCAGTTAAAATTCATGTATTCACATATAACATTGTATTGGGTGAAGTTTTCAGTCTGAGACAGGTGACAGGGGAGATCTTCCTGATTAGACTAACTTCAGACTCGGAAGGCAGGGGGTCTCTCAAATCCTTCCACGTGGCAGGCTGCCTCCTCTGTCTTTACTCACAGGTCCAGTTTTGAAAAGGACCAGGTTATGACCAAAAACACATGGCTGATTTTGTATAATTTGTTTCATTAGGTGATATTTTGCCCTGCTCTCTGTGACTCTGGGATTTCATGTAGATTTACACATTTGCCTTCTTAACTCAGGTCCCATTTATCCACCCTAGGACTTACCTGGACAGTTGTGTTCTGACCTAGCCTGGTTTTCCACCAGTGGTCTCACTTAGTGCCCTTTGGCTCTGTGATAAGTATGTGGTTCATTTACAACCATGTTATCATTGTCTCACTGTTGTAATCTTCTCTGCCTGTCTTTTCTCCCATCTATTATTCCTTTTTCAGCTCATTACCATTGTGCTACTGTCTCCATCTTCATTCTTGCATTCTCCAGTATTGACATATACTTTTATTTTTTAATACCTGATTAATGCAACAGGATATTGAGTGGGAGTTTTCTTGTAGTCTGAGAGCTAGAACCTAAACCAGAGAACAGGTATGCATTAATTGTCTTCATCTTCTAAAGGGATCTCTATTCATCTGCTCCAGCTCCATAACAAAGTACCACAGACTGGGGCAGCTTAAACAACAGACATTTATTTTCTCTCAGGGCTGGAGGCTAGAAGTTCAAGATCAAGGTGCCAGCAGGGTTAGTTTCTTGTGAGGTTGCTCTCCTTGGCTTGCAGACAGCCACATTCTCACTGTCTTTATGTGGTCTTCCCTCTCTGTCCTTATCACCTCTTCCTGTAAGGAAACCAGTCATATAAAATTAGAGCCCACTCAGTGGCCTCATTTAACCTTAATTATCTCTGTAAAGGCCCAATTTCCAAATACAGTTACATTCTGAGGTACCAGGGGTTAGGACTTCAACATGTGAATTTTAAGGAGACACCATTCAGCCCATAACAGGATCTAATGGCAAATGTGTCTGGATAGCTCCTTGGGGCTTCTTAAAAAGCGACCATACCTTTTGTGCTATCCTCACAATCATT